GATTTATCTATGTTTGTTTGTGAATCGGATGGTATCTTCGAATCTGTGTGGCTTTTGATCGTGTGTTATCCAAATCGATTTCCATGGAATTTAAATACGATTGTGTTTGAGGATGTATCTAGACGCTTTTGTGTACGAAAGGAGTATCTGTGTTTGCGTTTGTGATCTTGAGTAAATCTGATGGATTGTTTTTCGTTTTTGGTTTTTTGTTTGCAGCAAGTCGTATTGTCCTTACTGTGTGAGTGTGAAGGAGCTTTTGCAACAACTGGGAGCTACGTTCAAAGCCATTGAGCTCGACAAAGAAAGTAATTTCCTCGATTCTCATCGTAACTTCCGTTTCATTTACCGTTTGTTAATGTTTTTGGATTGTTCTTCTTGTTTATGTACTTTGTGATTTGAGTTTAGCTTTTGTTTGTTTGATCCAAGGATAGGTTTTGTTCATGAATCCATTTGTCGAAAAAATTATCTGTTTTTAATGTTTTTGGAATGTTTTAATTGTTATATTGCTTGTGTACCGAGATTCGAGTATAGTTTTTTGTTTAATCCAAGTTGTATAGGCTTTGTTCAGAAATCCATTAGTCGTACATTTCTTTGTTTGAAATGTTTTAATTGTTATATTGCTTGTGTGCCGAGATTGGAGTATAGTTTTTTGTTTGATCCAAGTTGTATAGGCTTTGTTCATAAACCCGTTAGTCGTACATTTCTTTGTTTGAAATGTGTTGGAAAGTTTCAGTTGATCTTCTTGCTTCTGTATCGAGATTCGAGTTTAGGTTATTGATTCAAGTAGAGGTTTTGTTTATAAACTCACATGATAAAATTTCTCTGCTTCCTTGGGAGATTCTAGTTTAGGTTTTTGTTTGATCCGACCTAGTATTCGTTCAGAAGCCAATCATCATAAATTTCTCCGTTTTCTCTAAAGATTTTTGATCCAAGTAGAGGTTTCGTTCACGAACCCAACCTCGGAAATTTCTTTGTTTTCTCTTGGATAATTACCCTCAATTTATATTACTCACTAGAGAATCCAGACTCAAGGATTGATCTGCTTATGTCGAATAATCCGTTGCTGCTATATAATACAGGTGATGGTGCAGCAGTTCAATCAGCTCTTGGTGAATGGACAGGACAACGCACTGTGCCTAATGTGTTTATAGGAGGGAAACACATTGGTGGCTGCGATGGTAAGCAAAACAGAACAAATCCTTTTAAAATATTCGAATTTTGCGAACCTTTAGTTTTGGTTTTCCCTAAACCAAATCTTGTGATTTTCATTGTTTTGTAGCAACGACAAACTTGCATAAAGGCGGTAAGTTGGTTCCGCTGTTAACTGAAGCTGGAGCTATCGCTGCAAAAGCTGGAACGACTTCTGCTTAAGAAGCACATTCCATTTGTGATTGCTTCTATCAAGAATAAAAGAGGTTGGAGTCAGCAATAAAAAACTTGTTTTGATGTCAAGTTAAACGATAGTCTGAAATGTTTTTAAGATTGTGGTCATGTCGAAGTCGGTTTTGAACTTTTGATACATTCTCTCGATAAATAGAAACTCGAATCTCAGACTCATAAGCTCTCAGTCAAATGTAACTGAAGAAGAATGCAAAAAAGGTCATTGTTAGGGAAGATTGAATACTGACTGCGATATTAGAGCTCTATTACCTATATTTAGTTCATTTGCCATAGGATTCGTTCCACGTTTGGAAAATGTATCGGCTGATACGTTCGCTAAAGAGGCTTTTCGAGCTCTCACCATTTGATAATAAAACGTTTCGTGACCAAAGAAAAAAGAAACTACTGTGTCAAATTAATTTACCTGATAGCACACTTTTTTTTTTTCTAACCGAGTATGTTTTTAGATAAAACTCAATACGATTTTATTGGTTTGTTATTTTTCCCATTTTTTTAAGTAAATTAATTGAGGAGCGACCAAAATCTCAATCTCAGCCGCAAGTTGAAAATTATGTTAGTGATTGTACTTAAACATCTTTTCTCAAATGATGTTATTTCTCTTTCTTCCTACCAAATCATATAAGCTTTTGTAGCCACTCGTCATATTAATATCGTATGAAACTTAAACCCACTTGACACTGCCAATAAACCCATTTAACTCTTCCTTTTATCCATTTATGGGTTCAGTTAATCCTTCCTTGACATAGCATAAATTAAGGTTTTGCCCTTAATTGACATTTGCTTTATGTGAAGGTGAGAGGTGTCTACGTCTCCAACTAATTACCTTTCTGGATTTCACTCGCAATCCTTACGCGTGCTCACCACTGACCTAATATATAGGCATAATAATGAAATTAGTAACAAATATTTAGACCATGTAGTATTATATAGAGGATTATGAACATATCAAACAATTATGCAACTTTATCCTAATATATAGGCATAATAATGAAATTAGTAACAAATATTTAGACCATGTAGTATTATATACAGGATTATGAACATATCAAACAATTATGCAACTTTATTGAGAATGTTTACACTTTACACAACTTATATTCATGGCCGGGCCTGAGCACATGACAACAAAGCATGGGCCTTGGGCCCTCGTTTTTTTTACCAATTTTTAAGGCCACCAATTTCTAGTTATTTATATATATGTATAACAATTAAAAATATATTTTACCCAAAACTATAAGCCTACCAAAAGCTCAACGCATTATGTTAACGTGAATACGTGATGGGAACAGATTTATATAGAAACCAATTAATTATAATAAAACATTTTCCTTTTTCTTTTTCCCTTTTTTCTTTTGTTCGACTCTTTAACTTCTTCTTTTTCTCTGTTACTCTTTCTTCCTCATCTCTGTTGCTTTGATTCATTTTTTTCTATTGAACATGACATGTATTTTTTCTTTTAATGATAATTTATGTTTATGATCAGATTATAGTTGGAATCGATGAGTAAAATAATTTTGTTATGAAAATTTTAGGGATTTCAACAAGACTTTGCTGGAAAAAATACAAGAAGGATAATTTTTCAGAATAGGTAGATTTTATTATCAATGTCAGGCTGTTTTTTTTTGGAGAATTTGTGTTTCATTTAACTAATTTTAAATTTTTAAAGTCATTTTAAAGAAAATGCGTTTGATTATGTTATTGTACTGTAAAACAAAGGCCTCCGTTTTTGGGTTCGATTCTGGCCCCATTTTTTCAGGACTGGTTATCATGAATCCCAAAATCGACAAATTTGTATGCATTCACCACCGAGATAGATATCAATGCAACCGAAAAACCCATAAGTTGTGACTTTTAGTTTGGTATGCAGAGAAGAGAACCCTCAGACGTAAAAAAATTGTAGTGGCCGGAAATTAACTCTACAATTGAAAGATGAAATAGTTGCATAAATGAACTATATTAAACGCAAGGTTTTTATATTAAACACAAGGTTGTCACCAATCTTATGTCTTTATGGCTTAATTAGACTCAAGGTTCCCATTGATTATGCTTTTTGTAAAATCTAACTTTTATTTTAAGGATATTTACATTTTAGCAAAAAAAAAACTATATTAAATATAGGTTTGACTGCTATAAGCCCCCTCAATTTTTCACATTCCTCTTTGATTTCCATGGATTTTTGACATCTCTATTTCTCCCCCTTAAAAAGTATATCTCTTCATATTTTCTCCCAAACTATTTAAACTCTTCAAAATTTCTCAAATCGAGTTAAACCACTGATTTCATTTAATTAACCGGAAATTGTGTTTCAAAAATACCGTTTAGATTAACTTGGTTCATAATCGCGTTTGATATAATCTGTATTATAACCCTCTCTTTGAAAAAAAGGAGAGTTTTAAATAGGGGTAAGATTCAAATTTTAGCTAAATTCGGGTTATTGTAAAAACGATTAGGTTAGACGAATATCGATTAATACTCGGTTAATGAAACGCAATTTCGATTTTGGAAAATTTAAAGAATTTAAATAATTTAGGGAAAAATATAAAAATATGTACTTTTTAAGGGAAAAAATAGAAAGGTCAAAAATCTTGGAGATTAGAACGGAATAAAAAAAGTTGAGAGGACCAGTGCAGTTAACCCTTAAATATATCTTTACTTTCAATCCCCAGGTTTACATTCACTCATTTGACTGTATCACTAACTAAACTAATCCAAATAGGTAAAGTAGAAGTGTTCATGTCCAGAGCTCATCATCAATTTATTTTTATTTTCTGAGAGAAAAACTACCCAATAATTTTTACCTTATCCTTTAGTGATTTCTGGAAAAATAAAAACAAGAACTTTACTAAATATCAGTGCAAGAGAAAAAAAAATCTTTAGAGTCGTTGCTATATAACGCGCTTATGACCAATGTGGATAAACATTTCCACTTACTTAACATAAAACCACAAAATAAGTTTCTTTATAATCGGCTTTGAGTAGTACTATATAACTTTTGGTTGATGGGGCAAATCAAGTGCCTTTCCATATATGCATAATTATTAATCGTCCTTCATTTGATAAAGTTCATGATCATTCATACATAGTTATGACTCAATGATAAAGCTTGATACATTGTGAAAATCTTTCATATTTCCCATTAGTAATTTGTCTGTATATTTATGGCATTTATCATTCTTTTAATCTCGAAGGTTCAATCCCAGTAAATTAAACCAAATCAAAAATATTGTGCTAGCATCTATCTATTATATAATGGGAGAGTTTTCTCTCCCCTTAAGGTGTCCACATCATCATTTTCAAAGTTTCACATCATTAAAAAAGAGTAATTATATTTAAACTAGATTTATTAATTCAATAAATTAACATTCTTCTATTTGTTGTTTTATATTAATTACCACACAAATGTTTTTTTAGA